TGGCGGTTCAAACCCACCAGCCACTCCTTGGAAGGAAGGTTGGGCAATCCTACTTCCGTAGTGATACTGCCTCGGAAACCCAAGGAGGGGGTCGCTATGAGTCGGGTCCGACTTGACGGCACATAACAACAACAACAACAACATAGGTTCTTACACCCATTTGCTTCTTCTTAAAAGGTCCCTACTTACCTTCGTTCAACAGGTACAGGCAAGGACCAGACTTCTCCCTCAGAAGCTGGAAGCTCATGTTGTGCAGCTTTCAAAGGAGTGCCATCTGCTTTAAAGCTCTCTAGTGTTTTCATGATATCTTTAACATGCTTAGCTTCCACATTTATTTCTTGCCAAACCTGATTTAAAAGGAGAATAGGGCTCCTTAAATTTCTATAACCAATAAATCACTACCAAGATTAAACTAGAGGCATTTATTAGACAAGTTACAAACTTCCATTTTGACATTACACATCCACTAACCCACACAAGACACTCTGTTCAAATCTTAAATAATGGCTCATTAATTCTTTGTTTTCAAATGCAAAATTAACGCTGACAAGACCCTGGCTAATTAAACCATATTACTGACTTGTGGTTCTCATTCAAACTGCAGAGCAAAAGGAAAAGTTAGCTGTATCTTTAAAGTCAGACAAAAAGAATACCTTTGCTAGTTGTACTTAGATGGTTACCATGTTATTTAGTTTTAAGATGCTGATCAGAATCCACTAATTTCATAACTCATTAATGGATTGCAATGTACTGTTCGAAAAATATAGCTTAGGAAGACAACTATCTAATTTCACATATAATCAAAAAATTTTTAAAAGATAAAATCACATATAACCAAGATATTTTTAAAACAGCAGCTTTGACTCATTTTAATTATATATATAGGCAGTATCCAAGAATGAATGAGATCCATTTCCGGTGTCTTTAAGAATCTGTGGGTAAGTTGGCCCAGATGCATATGGTTTTATTTAGCCTTATTTTAGTGCAAGGAAAGACCTGAAGACTTTTCAAAGATTTAAATGCTGCAAGTGCAGCAAGTGAAGATGATTGAGATGCAGTATTTGTTGAGAGTAGGGGTTGGTTAGTGAGGGCATTTTTATATAACATTAAAGGGCAATTAGTTGTCAGTAAGCTGGACATCAGTAACCCAGGGGACTGCCTGTATATATAATTGAAATAAAGTTTAAAGTTAGTAATGTTTTGTTTGGGAGCTCTGGTGATGTAGTGCCTAAGGCATTTGACTGCTAACCAGAAGGCTGGCAGTTCAAACCCACCAGCCACTCCTTGGAAGGAAGGTTGGTCAGTCTACTTAAATAGAGATACCGCCTTGGAAACCCAAGGAGAGGTCGCTATGAGTGGGCTCCGACTCGACAGCAGTGAGTTTGGTTTGGTTTTGGTAATGTTTTGTTTTGAAATCAAATAATTTTACTTCAAGTATCTTTACAAAAAAGTATCTTTATTAAAAGACTTCCTAAAATAAAAGCCTCTGGCCTAAGAGTAAAAGGTCTTAAAAGTCTTTTAAAAAAAAAAAACAAACCCAAACTCACTGCCTTGGAGTTGATTCAACATACAGCAATCCCTCCTTGGATTTTTGAAGGCGGTATCTCTATGGTAGTAGATTGCCCAATCTTCTTTCCAAGGACCAGCTGGTGGGTTTGAACTGCTAGCCTTTTGCTTAGCAGTCAAATGCCTTAGGCACTATCCTTATTAAATAAAATTGTTTCTCCTTCTGTTAATGAAAAGGATATGGAGGGGCAAACTTAAGGAAAGAAAGAGATTATGTTCCTTACGTTTGGTTTTAAAGAAATTAAAGGCAAAATATGGAACAATATTAAAAAAAAACACTTCAGTAGAAATATGAGGGGTAATATTCTACCTCAAAGACCAGCTCAAAAGTTTACTTCCCATTTCTCTACTATTTCTTTCCTTCTGTGACACAGGTGATGCTTGTTACACATAGCATCCTCAACCAAATCTAATAATCTACAGCTTCTGTTTGTAAATTTCTACTGGTCTGAAGTTCTTCACAGGGAATTCAAGTGTGGTCTGCTGTATAATGTTCTACAGGGAATATGGTACCAGTGAGATGCAAGTGCCATTTGCAGTTTCAACAATGGCTTAATAAAATCAACTCTAATTTTAGCTGATACATTGTGGGAGTTTTCAGTCAATGTCAGGAGACAAAGTGCATGTGAACTCCTATACAGAAGATGAATTTACTCTGTAAACTTTCACCCAAATCACAATTAAAAAACAAAAATCAACTCTAATTTTACAAAGTAGAAATCCAACCTAGAAAAAAAATTTTAAAGCTATTACTTGTTAAAAAAATCTACTGGATTCCAGCATTAGAATAATTGAGTAGAATTCATAATATTGATGATGAACAAGGACTATTATTAATATAATAAATTAAGTTTCAAGTAACACTATATACAAACCAATGTAGTAAATTATACACTCTTAATGTATAACTGCATAGAGCACTGACAATCTATTTAAATGTTCTCATCTCAGTCCCTGGACCATTAGTACATACAGCAGCCGTGATTCTCACCTGTTGCCATTTCTGCTGGAGGTATGTGTCCTTGACTGAATACAAATACTTGTTCATTTGATCAAGAACTCCCTGATAATAGACCATTGCAGAGTCATAATTTCCAAGCAATGCATATTCCCGAGCCAACTTTACATTCTCACTAATCATGAGAAGACTCATGGTCAAATGTAAGCTAAAAAAAAGAACAAAAGAAACATTTTCATATTACAAGTGTTACAAAGTGTGTTAAAACTACTCTCCAGCACTCCTTCAAGAAGCTCATGATCTCACACACTGCACCCTCCAGGCTCTATGCTTGCTTGTGCCATCCCCATTCCTTCAAAGGAACTTCACCCACATCCAACCTGACCTAGGTGTTAAAAGCCCAGTTCAGCTGACAGTTCTCCCACTGTGACTACTCCCCCCGGCTCCCCGAGTTCCTCAGTTCAATATAAGCTCTCCTTCTTCTAAAGTCCCTTGGCACTTTACTGGGATCTTCCATCCCAGGGCACTTATCTATTTTTCATTAAATTCAATTTAATAGCTACTTCTGTATGTCTTGGGAGCTCTGGTGCTGTAGTGCCTAAGAAATAGGACTGCTAACCAGAAGGCTGCTGGTTCAAATCCACCAGCCACTCTTCAGAAGGACAATTAGGCAATCTACTTCTGTAGTGATACTGCCTCGGAAAACTAAGGAGTGGTCTATGAGTTGAATCAGCAGTGAATTTGGTTTTTTGTTTTGTTTTGTTTTTTAAATGTCTTATCCCTATGAGATTAAGTTCTCTGACAGCAGGATCTACATTTGAAAAGTGTGAAACTATCCCCAATGCAGGATACAAGGTTTTACTGGACATCTGCAGAATGAATTTTGTATTAGGTGTTTTGGGCAGGCAGCATGGAATAGCAGAAAGCTATTGTTCTGAAGCCACATGTTTTTGTTGCTGACTTTATTCTTATTGATTTGTGACTTTGGAGACCTCATGTGTTACAGAGTAGAACTGCTCCAGAGAGCTTTCTTGGCTGTAATCTTTATGGAAGCAGACTGCCAGACCTGTCTTCTGCAGTGTCACTAGGTGGGTTCAAACCACCAACTTTTTGGCTACCAGCCTAACAGAAACCACCTGTGCCATCCAGGGACCTTTGAAGCCATGTGTTTTGACGTCAGAAAAATTTTGTTTAGAATTATAATTCTGCCACTTTTGGTAAAGCCCTTAACTTTTCAAAGACTTAGATTTTAAATGTGTAAAATGGGGGTACTTCCAAGGTAGCAACGTCCAAGGCAAACACACTCTGAAGAACCGTTTATAGTATCTAGCATACTATTTGGTAAGGAGTAGGTCTTCAATAAGGAGCTCTGGTGGTACTGTGGTTAAAGCATTGGGCTGCTAACCCAAAAGTCAGTGGTTTGAACCCATAGCTGCTCTGCAAGAGAAAGAAGCAGCAGTCTGCTTCCAAAAAAAATTTACAGCCTTGGAATCTTCTGGGGCAGTTCAATCTGTCCTGTGGGGCTGCTATGAGTCAGAATTAACTTGATGACTGTGGGTTAGGTTTTCAATACATCCCTGAAGATGTATAGGTTCTACTATGTAGAAGAACCTAGCACAAGGTTTTACACTTAGTAAGTAATCAACACAAAATTGCAATGAGACTTTCAAGGGAAAAAAATCAACCTCCCTGCTTTAAAATGAAATCTATGACTGGAGAAATCTGTAACATACATTTTCAATGACAAATCCAAGAGACCCCTGTGCATGGAGGGAAGAGGGAAAGGACAGTATTTGAGCCAAGTACCAAAAGTGTGCTAGAACTGTTGCTTTACAGAGAAGGAAAATCAAATGGGATAACGGTCATGTCTTTTACAAACACACAGTGGCCTCCTTGTGGATTGTTTGGAAGTAGATTTGTCCTTAGTACTTGTGGTGGTTATGTTTTTGTGTCAATTTGGCTGGGCCTGGTTGGGTGGCTGGGCAGCTGGTGGTAGTTATTCCCCATGATGAGACTGGCAATCAGCTCCATGGTGGGATCTATCACAAGCAGCTGAGTAGCTGCCTTTGGGATGTGGTCTGCTTCCTGTATTTAAGGAGAAGCCTTGGGAATGGTCTCTAGCCTATGTATGGCATGCTTGGACCCTGCAAGTAGCCATGTCGTTGTTCAGCAGCCTGCTATGCTCTGCCGACCTTAGGACTTACAATGGACTTAAGTTAATGGCCTGCCGTATGGTTTGGTAACATCGAGACTGTGCCTTTTTACTTGTCAACCTTGGGGCTTCTCAGCCTCAGCAGCCAGCAGCTGTCTGAGTGAAGAAACGCCTCTAGCTCCAGTGGGCCGGGAGCAGGAGGCAGAGCTGGACCCCAAGGTTGAGGGGCTTTCACCCAGCCCCTAGAGCCTGGCACTTTGAACTTGAACTTAAAGCCTCCAAATTTTAAGAATAAAGTCCTGTTTGGTAAGGTCATCCCATTTGTGGTATATATTCTTGTCAGAGTGGCACTAGGTAACCACAACAGTACTTTCACATCTCCTATTTTGTACTTCAAACTTTTTGATGGCTTCTCTACCCAGAGTCAAGAACCCAGTGTGCTTCAGCTGTCTAAAACTTTTCATTATAATACCTCAAACCATAGTCTAGTATTCCAAAGGCATATCTCTGCTTCCTCATCTCAAACCAGCTTTCCTACTACCTACCATTATGGAAATTAAAATCTGATTAAGCTAACTGACATTCACTTTAGGCAAAGGTATGGGAAAACCGGTATTCTCAAGTAACTGTTGGTAGATGCATACATCGGTCCTTTGCAAGTAATTTGGCAAGAGGTGTGAAAATGTTCAGCATAAATGTAAATATCACACTCGATCTACTCCTGTGCACACAACAACAACTAACACCTGGGCTTCTCAGATGTGCCAAACAGTCACTGCCCTGACTTCTGAAAAATACCACATAAATCAGTCCTGGGCAGAATGTGTGAAGAAATACTTAGAAAATGGCTTGATTTTTTTTTTGTTACAGGGGCAAAATACTGGACTGGGTCTACAGATCTGATCTGCTTTGGCAGCTTTTATGTGTTTATTTGTTTACCATATGAAATTGATTTGAGGTACATATCACAAAAGTAATAAATATTTTTTGAATACTTACTAGGTACCAGGAACTGCCCTGCTCCATAATAAGAACTTCATACAAATTACCATATTGATTTACGTAACAACCCTAAAAGATAGATACTACTACTGTCTCCAGTTCACAAATATGAAAACTGAGGAAAATCAAGTTTAAATTATTTAGTCAGGTCAACATCCAATAAACAATAAAAGCAGGATTTTAATTCAGGTAGAGAGACTTTTCAGCCCATACTCCTAACCACCCTGATATCCTACCTTCCTCAAATATACCTTCATGAAAAATACAACATTCCCGTAAGGTGAGAATGTAAACTGGTACAGCTACTGTAGAAGACAATTTGGCGGTTCCTCTAAAAGTTAAAACATAGAATTGTCACATGATGCAGCAATTCCACTCCTAGGTATACACCCCAAAGACTTGAAAACAGGGTCCAACACTCATTGCATTGTTCATAACAAAAGTGGACACCACCCAAGTGTTCATCAAAAGATGAATGGATAAATGTGATATATACATACAAGAGAATATTATTCAGCCATAAAAAGAAATGAGTTTCTGCTAAAGTGCAACTATTAGTCTCTCCTCATCCAGAACAAAGAAGAGTGAAGAAAATCAAAGATGCACAGAAACAGTCGAAAAGACTAATGGAGCACAGGAATATCAGCCTATATGACCCTGACAGCAGAAGAACTAGATGGTGCCCAGCTACGAAGGACAACCACTGGGAAAGGGATCAAAATTGGAGATTTTGGATAGAGTGAGGAAAAAATGTAAAGACCAAGCTTACTGGTTTGATAGAGACTACTGGTGAAACCCTCCGACTGTGGCCCCTAGTCACCCTTTGGGCCTGGAACGGAACTCACTCCTGTGACTTAACACTCAACCGAACAACAGACAGCCCTACAAGCTGAACACCTACACCAGGGAGATATGCTCCTTAGTATAATTTACCATGGGAGATCAGAAGGACAGCATTTGCACAGGGAGAAAGGTAGGGAGGCAGGCATGCATAGGCAAGAAAGACACAGGGAAAACAGCAACCACAGGGAGGAAGTGGGAGGAGAGCTGTTACACTGCAGGGAATATAACCACTGTCACAAAACATGTATGAACTGGTAAATGTAAAACAAATCTGCTTTGTATAATTTTACCCAAATCACAAAAGCTAAAAAAAATCACATTCTAATAGATGTTACAGCATAGATGAACTCTGAAAACAAGCTAAGTGAAATAAGCCAGACACAAAAGGAGAAATATTATATGATCCCACTTATATGAAACATCTACAAGAGATGAATGCACAGAGTCAGAGAGTAGACTAGTGGTTATTATGGGATCGTAGGAATGGAGAGTTACTGCTTCATGGGTGCAGTTTCTGCTTGGGGTGATGAAAAAGTTTTGGAAACAACAATGATCACTGTGTAACACTGTAAATGTAACTAATGTTGCTAAATGTTTAAAATGACATTTTATGTTATATATATTTTATCACAATAAAAAAATTTAAACAGTAAAATAAAAAATATATATATGAATTTTAAAAAACCTTTACTTTTGTGTTGCCATTTTCTATAAATAGATCAATGTATATCATTAATGATTTTACACCTTGGAAATTCTGCCTTTATATCCTTGGATAATTACCTCCCACTGAATGTAGGCTTTTAAAAAATAGAATATGCAAAAATAATGGAATGTCACTTTCAACAACAAACTGACTTCCATCTTCCTCACTGTCTTGCTGGTACACTAAGGAAAACCAACCACTATATTATGAGCTGCTTTGTGAGAGACTAATGTGACGGAGAACTGAGGGAGGCTCCAGTCCAACAACCAGTGAGGAACTGAACTCTGCCAACCACCAATTTGAGTGAGCCTGGCAGCAGATACTCCCTCAGCTGAGCCTTGAAATGACTATACTGAGGGCCGATACCTTGATTACACCCTTGTAAAAAGCCCTGGGTCAAAAAAGCTCAGCCAAGGCCTCCCAAGATTCCAGACCCACTGAAAGTGTGAGATGACGTTTGTTTTAAGCTATAAATTTTGGAGTAATTTGTTA